GTACAGGCGGTGGTGGGGCCTGCTCAGTGTGGCTGTGCAAAACACGCTTGCTGCCACTTTGCTCGGGACGCCGCCATGCAGTCCATGCCCCCATGCCTGGCGCGCAGGCACCGCATCTGCAGGACGTCCTACACGACGCGTGCCCGCCTGTGCCTAGCGGCCTGCCGGCTCGCTGAGCCGCTGCAGCCACGTTGCAGTGCCGTTTAGCTCGCAGGTGCACTGGGACCGCACGTGAATCGCCCGAAAAGTCCGTGGGGTAAGAAAAAAATCCTTGCCGGTACGTGTTTACGTCACGAGACAGGACTTTCCCACATGCACAAAGTTCGTTGCCCTTCATGCTCAAGCCGGCGAGCAATTGCTTGTGCGATTTGGGCGCACAACAACGACAGCGACAACATGGCACTGGCGTAGTACACGTACAGTCACCTTTTATGTGCGTCACCGTTGTGTAACATGAACACGCTTAGAGCGAGCCCTAGATGGCCTGCAGCCCGTCGTGCAGATGTACATTAAACTGTTTATCCGCCGCTTCCACGCCCCGTAAAGCGATCCATCCCCAGTTTGAGAACATGTTACGTCTTTTGCACATGCCACCAACAGTCCTGTAATTGGCGCTGAATTTGTTTAAATCGTTACGTAGCCTGACTTGGTCAGGATGGTGGACTGCTGCTAATGCACGCAGCGCAGAACGAGGAATGGAGACCGGTTCGACATGGTTCGACCCGGTTTCGGAGTTAATGGATATGAAGATGCAAACATCGGCGATGGGCAGCTGACTCCAGACTTGCGAGATGTTGCACCAGTTTACGCGATTGTATGCGACTGCCACTGCTGTTTTCGTAAAATTTTTAATAAACGCACATAGATTCACGTGCGGGCCTACTCGGCTTCCTGGCTCGACACCCTGCCATGGATCCAAGCACGCACGCTCCCCGCAGATCGCTGCCCACCTCCGCCGTGCGCTCGCAGTCCCTCATGCCAGTGGTTCCGCTGCCGTCGCGGCTGCAGCACCAGCCGCGAACCCTCGCAGCGCAGGGTTGCCACGTCCCTGCTTGGGAGGCTTCCGAATCCCCCTGCCCAGCGCCCGAAAAAGCCGGAGCCCAGCCCAGCGGCACGCCGCCCGTGCCTGTGACCAGCGCGCGTTCGAGATGCATTTCGCCACCTTGCCCTCCCCAGCGTCTCGAGCGCTCCTGCTGTCCCAAGCTGGGCCGCACGCCGTTTGCTGCTTAACGGTCCGCCCCACGCATGACGCAGTCACCATCCCCTCCGCAAAGCGCCGCTTGCGCTTGCCGCCCCCGCTCGCCCCCCACGTGTGTGCATGCTGTGGGCTGGAGGGTGACCATAGAGCAGCAGCATGTGCCAACTCCGGCGCCTTAGCCTCCCGCGCCCTCCCGCACGAGCCAGCAGCACCCATGCCCCTTGCCAGCATGCATGAGAATCTCCCGGTCCCCGTCGCCGATGTGCGGCGGATCGAGATCGTTTGCAATGGCTTCCTACTTTGGCACGGGGCCCAGCTCGCTGTCCACACCACGTGCACCACTCTCAACCCGGCCTCGCTCTTCGGCTCGCAACACGGCGCAAGCGTCGCGAAACCCACCCCAAGCTACCGCGTTCGCCCTGACGCCACAGCCTTCTTGCGGCTCCTCGCACAAGCAAGCGCAGCGAGTGCGCGCGCTGCCGTCCGCTCGGCTTTGCGTTCAGCCTACGTCTCCTCCCGCTGGAGTGGCCTCATGCCGTGGCAGCGGAGAGGGCCCTCGCCATATCTAGCTCACTGCTCGAGCTCCCTTTCGAGACAGTCGCCTCCGCCGCTGGCGGACCGGCGGCGCATAAGGTCCCGCAGGACGAATTAACGGTGGTGGCTCGACGCCCCGGCGTCCAGTCACTTCCCAGCACGGGTTTAGGTCGCACTGGCGCGCCGTAGTTCGCAGGTGCACTAGGACTGTGCATGTACTGGTCTCAAAAAAAGCAGCGAAAAAAAGGTTCGAACACCAGTCAGACTCAACCCGGTCCAGATGCATATAGGACATCCGTTTGGCTATAATGGATTAGGGGAAGAATGCAGAAATTAAGTTTAGAACTGTGCAGTTGGGATGTATGGGGCCGCAGCTCGCCTTTGAGCATCACGACCGAACGGTGCGCCGAAATGCTAGAGTCTAGAGTAAGAAGCACTGCCAGCATGTGGTCCTCACACACACACACACCAACATTCCGCCATCGAAAGTTTCTGCGATGAGGTGGCAATGTTTTTCAAGTTGTGTGCTCGCTGCATAATAAAAAGGTGGCTCTCCATCTGGCCCTTCTGAAGCAGAGCCGTGCCTTATCGTTTCCAGATTATTGCCTCCTTCATATGTTTCGATTGTGGGTTTACGGGGGCGATGTGTCGGTTTCGAAGGTGGGGGTTTTGATGCATTCTCTATATGCGTTTTGGGCTAGGACTCTTGTGTGCATTGTGCATGGTTTAGGTTGATGCTTAACCTGCTGATTGCCCGTGCATGCGTGGTCGTCATTTAGACTTTCGCTCTGGCTCCCGGCGGGGGTTTAATTTAAACCGTTCAGGGGCTCAAGTTTTCCAGTCGCGAATGACAAATAAGCTTCCGTTGTGTTTTGCATTCGAAACCGAGCCTTTCACACGAATGCTTTATATGCAAAGTCTCCCTTTTAGCTAAGTTACGGCTACGTTGCTGTTGTTTGGGCCCAGATGCACTTTTTCAGCCACGTCCAGCTCGCCGTTGCGAGCACGGCCTTGG